CTTGAAATCTGGATGCACCGCAAAAGATGCGTCGATCATCCATTTCATGACTTGTAGTGATTCAGCGGAAAGTGTCAGGTGATACAACAATGTACAAAACAAATATCGCATCATGCGAACACACTTCTTCCAATCAGACTCTGTAGGTTCTCGAACTCTTGAGGCAAGAATAGTAATCGTTGGATGGATACCCAAACGAGCTCTCTTAGAGACATAAAGTCCCCTTGCAACAGTAGTATGAAAGATTTGAAGGTACTCAGCACTGAGTAACTTTCCTTTCCCAGCCTCCAGTAAATCGTTACCAGCTGGTGTTTCCTGCTTTGAATCCTTGTTGAACTTGATAGGAAAATCTTCCAACAGCTGTAGCTAGTCTATCAACACTCAAGAAAAACAATGACAGCATGAGAAATAGACGATTGCACCAAACAGTCGACATTTCAAGTACCATGATTCCTGGGACTTCCGTTGCTATTCCTCCTAAAAATCTCGAGGCTATTGCCAAGTTGGAACCCAAATCATTATGGTCCCATTTTGCCATTCTCTCTTCGATTCCTCGTCTATCCAAGCAAGAAGAACAAGTCTTGGATTAAAAAAGGCTTTCGCTGAAGAACGGAACCTGAAATGGAAACAAGACTCCGTCGGAAACTTGGTCGTCTTTCATCCAGGTTGCGGTGTTGGCAAGTCTGCTCCTGCTGTCATTTTGCAAGGGCACGTGGACATGGTCACAGAGAAGAATAGCAACACAGCGCATGATTTTGAAAAGGATCCCATCCTTCGTCATCAGTTGGCACCCATTCACAATGAGCAGACAAATCAGAAAGAGCAATGGCTTGGGGTCAAAGGCACAACACTGGGAGCTGATAATGGTATTGGAGTCGCCGCCACTTTGGCCTTGTTGGAAACATCTGTCGACGATGAGACAGCTGCGCTCCCTCCCTTGGAAGCCCTCTTTACAATTGACGAAGAAACAGGACTGACTGGAGCAACGGAACTGAATGCGCAAGAACTGGGTTTGACCGGAAAATCAATGTTGAACCTTGATACGGAAGAATGGGGCGAGCTGTATGTTGGATGTAGCGGTGGTGGAGAATCGACAATCACTGTTCCCCTCACCCGTGGCTCAACTTTGGTCGGTGATGTGGAATATATGGAACTTCGTGTCGACGGTTTGTTGGGCGGGCATTCCGGCAACAATATTCACGAGGGTCGAGGGAATGCTATTTTGGTTTGCGCTTCTGCGGCACAAAAGGCATTGCAAGCTGCTCCAGAAGGTCTTTTGCCGGTTTTCATCACTGGCGGAGACAAACATAATGCCATTCCACGAGAAGCCTGTGCACTGTTTGCTGTGTCGACTCCAGAAGCAAAGAACGCAATTGAAACAGCAGCCCAACTGGGAGACCTTGTTTCCAAGGCCGAATACGGAATTCTCGAAACAAAACTTAGCGTGGTAGCCGAATTGCAACGATCGATGATACTTCTGAAATATCACCATTGGATGCCAAGTCCGCTTTCACTTTGCTGTCCATCCTTTTGGCTCTACATCACGGACCACTCAAATTTTCTCACTCCATCCTAGATTTGGTTGAAACTTCCAACAATATTGCGTCCATTGTTATGGCTTCCGACGATTCACAGGCTAATATTCTCTGCTCAACGAGATCCTCTATCGGAGACGCGTTGGAAATGGCTCGCGATAAGCTTGAAGCCATTGCCTTCTTGGGAGGGGCCACGATCGAACGGGAGGAGTCTTACCCGGGTTGGAACCCCGACATGAAATCTAATCTCCTCTCGCTAGAAAGAAAGCTGGTCAATCGTGGGACTGGCAGGAGCCCGGAGTCAAGGCAATTCATGCCGGGTTGGAATGTGGACTACTGATTGAAAATTGGGAGGAGGCGTGGATGCTTCAAGTTTTGGACCAACCATTACTGGAGCTCATTCGCCAGACGAACGGATCTTGTGCGACACTGTTCCGCCATTTTTCGAGCGGGTAAAGGAAATGTTTGAAGAACTAGCAAAACAACCAAACAACCAAAAGATTAACTCGAAGCGGCGCAAATCTACAAAGTTAGCTTGGATAGCCTCTACCTTCCGTCACCAGGATGGTAAATATCCCCCTCAAACGGTAAGATGGTGGTGTGAATACTCAACGAATGGACAAATAATACAAATTCAATTCAATTGAGACCTTGTAGTCCTGGTCCTAGTTTCTCGTCAACAATTCTCCCTGCATGATGTAGGTTCGAACATCGCAAAGTTTCAATATTTCATCCTTCTCATTCGTATCCGGAATTTTCATTCTGAAAATTGCTTCTTGTCCAATTGCTTCTGAGCAAGTTACTGCCATCGTGTGTATACCTCGCTTCACTAAATATTGTGCATCCAAACCCAGCAAAATCTGCCCCCAACAATACATAGCAATTTCCTCCACGGTAGAATGTACAATTGGCAACATCACGCAATCAGCCTTTGGGAACGAGAACTTTGAACCATCCTCACAGGTCATGTCGACATTTTCCCCCTCGTCATCGTCTGTGATCGTAATAACATCCGAGTACATAGGGCAAATGAAGTATTCGTTGAGATTCTTGCAAACTTTCTTGGTGACTGCTTTCAGATCTCCAAAATCAAGCACATAGCCATCCTGGCCTATGCGACGACTACCGAAAAGCCGAATTGCAAGCTTGTAGTTGTGTCCATGCAATCGTTCTCGGAATCCTTTGTAGGCCACAAAATGTCCGCAATTGAATTTGAATGTTTCTTTCGACACGTTCACTTCAAAAGTTGTCTCGGGAATATTTAGTAATCCAGACATTGTTGGAGAGACGTATCAATTGTTTATGAAGTACCAGTAGGTAATGAAACCTCAGGGACTGCTTGAGAAATCGCACCGATACCACACGATGAGAAAGTGTTTTGGTTTTGTTCTGAGCACGTGTACCGATAGAGTGGTGTAGACTGTCCAACTTTGATCTGCTTCAGGTACTTACTTAGTGTTGTTTGTTTGAAATGACAATACTTGATAGAATACAAATTGATTCAAAGAAATATTATGATGATTACAATTTGACTGAAGTGAAGGATGCACGAATAAATCCAGTATTGAAACGGAACTGCAATACTGGGCAAGACTCGGCGGGGCTTAGGTAAGCTAAGGCAGTAAGACCAAGAGTATCCTGGTAAGACTGACCCTTTTTCGAATATCAAAGTGGACAAATTATCAGCAGCCGGTCGGCAGACAGACTAGATTCGACTCTCCCTCACATCCGAAACTTCAACAAATTGCGTCAGCACGGAATGCCTTCTCAATTCAAATTTTAATCGGTATAAGTTTACGGTACCGATTCCAGAAAGTTTTACAGCGAGTCAGTCGCTTTTCTACGAGGTGCGCCGTAATAAACGTACACAAAAAACGTACATCCCCACGGGCGCATGGTACTTTCGGATCTTGGATGATTCGCTCCCGGCAAGGGTTCTCTTGGGGGTACAATTTGTAATAGTTGAGAACTGTTTTTGTTTTGTAACTATTATGGACTGTCTGTCCGTCTGTACCAATAATTTGTGTGACCAAAAAACAACAAAACGGCCGATGATGTTTTTTGCAATAACAACAGTGTGTTTGTAGCACCAATTGGCGACAGCAATTTGCGAGTGCTACACAGCCGCACTATTCGAATCAGCGCTTGTTTGTGCTTGCCTTTTGATTGGAAGATTGTGATATCTTGTTGGGCTTGGAATCTTTTGTCTTTTTGAGGAGTGTTTTGGGTTGTTTTTCAGTTTTTGTTGATTGTCACCTGAGCGTTCTCCTCCACTGGTTGCTAAGGAACTCCACATCTAGGCTGTGATTCGCTGGCAAACGGATATTGCTTTCTTACATATTGAAGCGAGTCTGCCCATTGGCGGTTAGACTCCTCATTGTATTCTGCAAGTTGTCTGTATTGCTGTGGATGCATAGAGAGATGGTGAAGAAGGGCCAAGTGGATGGTGTAGGGGGACGTGCCAGAGATGATTCTGTAACAGAGGAAGAATGCAGGACATGGACAAAAAGTAAAAGGAAGCGGATAAAGCAAAAGAAAAAGAAAGATGAGAACATTGCTGCGAGGAAGGCAAGAGAAGAAGCTGCTGATGCTACTTCTATGATTGCAAGGAGTACGCAAAAGAAGATTGCTAAGGTTGGTGCTTCTATCAGCACCAAAGCCGATGCTGTGCTAGTTCCTGTACCAAAAACAGCTCCAAACGTTGCAAACATTGAAAAAAGAAAACAATCAGACAGCCAGGATGGCAACAATAAGAAGGCAAGGAAGTTTGATACAAGGAGCGCTGCTCAAGGAGCCAGTGCTGGTCCCGCTGCTGCTGCCACTGTTACTATTACTGCTACTGCAAAAAGGAGAAAGCGAAAGAAGGCTGCAATTGTTACTAGTGCTGCTGGAAGGAGACTGAAGAAAACTACTACAAAGGTTGTTGCCGCTGCAAGCAACAAAGCAAATTTTGTAGTTGAAAAAAGGCAGCAGTCAGATAGGCAGCATGATGGCGACAAGAGAGCCCCAGAGATGTTTTTTTGCAATAACAACAGTGTGTTTGTAGCACCAATTGGCGACAGCAATTTGCGAGTGCTACACAGCCGCACTATTCAAATCGGCGCTTGTTTGTGCCTTGCCCCTTGATTGGAAGATTGTGATATCTTGTTGGGCTTGATATTTTGTTGGGCTTGGAATCTTTTGTCTTTTTGAGGAGTGTTTTGGGTTGTTTTTCAGTTTTTGTTGATTGTCACATGCAGTGTTCTCCTCCACTGGTTGCTAAGGAACTCCACATCTAGGCTGTGATTCGCTGGCAAACGGATATTGCTTTCTTACATATTGAAGCGAGTCTGCCCATTGGCGGTTAGACTCCTCATTGTATTCTGCAAGTTGTCTGTATTGCTGTGGATGCACAGAGAGATGGTGAAGAAGGGCCAAGCAGATGGTGTAGGGGGACGTGCCAGAGATGATTCTGTAACAGAGGAAGAACGCAGGACATGGACAAAAAGTAAAAGGAAGCGGATGAAGAGAAAGAAAAAGAAAGATGAAAACATTGCTGCGAGGAAGGCAAGAGAAGAAGCTGGTGAAGCTACTTCTTCTGTCAGCAACAAATCTGATGCTGTGCTAGTTCCTGTACCAAAAACAGTTCCAAACATTGCAAACATTGGAAAAAGAAAACAGTCAAATAGCCAGGATGGCAACAATAAGAAGGCAAGGAAGGTTGATACAAGGAGGGCTGCTCAAGGAGCCAGTCCTGCTGTTGCTACTACTGTTACTGTTACTGCCACTGCAAAAAGGAGAAAGCGAAAGAAGGCTGCAGCTGCTTCTAGTGCAAATTCTGTAGTACAAATGACTTTGAATGTTGGAAAAAGGCAGCAGTCAGATAGGCAGGATGATGGCGACAAGAAAACCCCAGAGAAGGCGAAGAAGGTTGCTGCGGCTGCTGAAGAAGGTGCTGTTGATGCCATGGAAAAGGCAGCAATGATTGTTCCTGCTTCAAGAGCTGTCGCTGCTGCAACTTCCGGCAAAAAGCGAAGTGCTATGAAGAAAAAGGCACAGCGCAAAAAAGTTTGTGGGAGAAAATTGCAAGGAGATAACAATGCAACAAAAGAAGCAAATCGCAGAGTAATGGATACTGGTAGAGCACAAGTAGAGCAGCATGCTGGTGTACCAATCATGCGGTACAATCTACGACATCCAGTCGGACCAAGGCCTCCATCTTTGAAAGAGCAAAAGAAGATGAGAGATGAGAAAAGAATTTGTTGAAAACAATGAGAGATGAATTGTGTGTCTTGCTTCTGGATATTGACAGCAAAAGTGTAGTTGCTCAAGAGAGGGTTCATTGGGACCGTTCGATGAAGGATGGCGATGGTTCGAGAATCATAGAAAAAATTCTCGAAGCTGCAGCTTTAATCAAAGATTTCAATGAGGAAAAAGATGATTATGGGATTTTGGAAGAGCAGAAGAAGCAGCTCTTTAAGGCAAAACAAGAGATGCAAAGACTCCTCAATGAATACTATGGTCATGCTTACATCTCTCCTCTACTTCCGACTTTCTTTGAAAAGTATGAAATCGATATGTTGGATGTAGACGATCCATTGTATTGTCCTGATGAAATTCGAGGGCTTCGTTATGAAACAGAGCAAGAGGACGAGGAGGATCCAAAGTTTACTGTCTATTGTGGTCTGCAAGAGAAGGAGACAATCATCAAGGGCTGCAGGATGGAATGGCTCAAGCCGTATCTAA